CTACATCTTTTGATTACCAATGCACAGTTCTGCCTGGTGGCCGACATGCCTGGCTGTGCCCCTCCTCTCTCTCTCTCGCTAGCTTGCTATTTCTTTGCAGTGGAAGATGCAAGAGTTAGTTCTCAAAGTAAACTACGGGAAATGGTTTCCTCCATTGCAAAAATACTGAATATTAGGAGTCGAGGAGTCTATTGCTAGCGGAATCTAAGCTCGACACCCAGAAATGGGAGTTGACGGGCAAGGAGTCGAGGAATCTATTATTTTGGAGTCGACTCCCCACTACTGATTGTAGTGTTTGTAACGCAAGATGGAGGAGAGCCTGTCTCTCGTTAGAGATCTCATTTATTTTGGGAGATTGCAAAATATGACCTTTTCATTCAAGACCGGATAAATGTTGTTTCAGGGGATAATAAAACATGTTTTGTTTCATTACTTTTTCCTCAACTTGTTTCTCTAACTTTATAGCTGGGTAGGTTGAAGATGCCACTAGCTAGCAACCTATAATAATTATCATAAAAAACAAACGTCATTACATCACAATAAACTAAATATTTAATATAATTGGCTTAACAGCCCATGTGTATTATTTAACATTACTATTAAAATAGTACTCACTTATAGGAATGGGTCATTGTGTACAAGCTGCTAGCTATACCATAAAGCCATCACTGAAAACCACGGTGTTCTTCGATGGACTCTGGCTGGACTGAAGACGTCGCAAAGTTTGGAAAATTTCGAAGTATGTGGCGGCCATCTCGCAACGGATCCTTTAACCATAAGGGGACTTCGCGATTCCACTCCGCTGTGAACGTCCCCATTGAAATCCATGACATCCGGCGCAACGTAATGGAGTGCTTATGGGTAATGTGAACAAGGCTTTGCCCATAAGCACGCTGTTAAGTTATGCCGGATGTCATGCATGCTCTGCAGTGCAAGCTCGCTTGACTTGCTATACAGTTAGAAAAACAAGTTGAGGAAAAAGTAACTAAACTGAAACAGTATATTTATCCCGTTTTGAATGAAAAGGTCATATTTTGCAATCTCCCAAAATAAATGTGATCTCTGACTTGAGACAGGCTCTCCTCCATCTTGCGTTACAAACACTACACTTGTCTGTTCAGTAGCGGGTCAAGACTCCATGAAGATGACATAAGGTGTAATTAAATGGGCTACATAACGATGTGTACGGGGCATAATGTAACGTAATGAAGGGCTTATGGGTAATGTGAACGAGGCTTAACGTTCCCTCCACTCAAAGGGTATGGGTTTCTGCTTCAGCACAACCACCATAAGAAAGAATGGCCCAAGTGCTGTAACCACTGCTTTGGGAGAGAAAAGAGGACGTGCAAATGCAAACACACTGTTGGCTAGTGGACATCCTGTTTCATATGTTCTTTGTGTAGTGTCTTATTTTCTCCTTGGTTAAAACATTGGAGTAATGTATTTACAAATGAATTAAAAATGAAAAGCTAAAATGTCTTGTCGATAAGTATTCAATCCCTTTTTTATGGCAAATCGAAATAAGTTTAGGAGTAAAAATTGGCTTAACAAGTCACATAATAAGTTGCATGGACTCTGTGCAATAATAGTGTTTAACATGATTTCTGAATGACTACCTCATCTATGTACCACACATACAATTATCTGTAAGGTCCTTCAGTCAAGCAGTGAATTTCAAACACAGATTCAACCACAAAGACCAGGGAGGATTTCCAATGCCTCGCAAAGAAGGGCACCTATTGGTAGGTGGGTAAAAAAGAAGACGTTGAATATCCCTTTGAGCATGGTGAATTTATTAATTACACTTGGATGGTGTATCAATACACTCAGTCACTACAAAAATACAGGTGTCCTTCCTAACTCAGTTGCTGGAGAAGAAGGAAAACGCTCAGGGATTACACCATGAGGCCAATGGTGACAGAGTTTAATGGCTGTGATAGGAGAACACTAAGGATGGATCAACAACAGTAAAGTTACTCCACAATACTAACTTAAACTACATAGTAAAAAGGAAGCCTGTACAGAATAAAAATATTCCAAAACACGCATCCTGTTTGCAATAAGGCACTAAAGTAAAACTGCCCAAAATGTGGCAAAGAAATTCACTTTATGTCCTGAAAACGAAGTGTTATGTTTGGGGCAAATCCAACACATCACTGAGTACCACTCTTTATATTTGCAAGCATAGTGGTGGCTGCATCATGTTATGGGTAGGCTTGTTATCGGCAAGGACTAGGGAGTTTTTTAGGATGCAAAGATGCGGAATAGAAATAAGCTAAACTAAGCAAAATCCTAAAGGAAAACCTGGTTGTCTGCTTTCCAACAGACACTGGGAGAAAAATGCACCTTTCAGCAGGACAATAACCTAAAACACAAGAACAAATATACACTGGAGTTGCTTACCAAGACGACATTGAATGTTCCTGAGTGGCCTAGTTACAGTTTTAACTTAAATTGGCTTGAAAATCTATGGCAAGACTAGAAAATGGCTGTCTAGCAATGATCAACAACCAACTTGACAGAGCTTGAAGAATAAAAATAAATAAAATAATGTGCAATATTGTACAATCCAGGTGTGCAAAGCTCTTAGAGACCTACCCAGAAAGACTCACAGCTGTAATCACTGCCAACGGTGATTCTAACATGTATTGACTCAGTGGTGTGAATACTTATGTAAATGTTTATTCTGTATTTCATTTTCAATACATTTGCAAAAATTTCTACAAACATGTTTACATTTTGTCATTATGGAGTATCGTGTGTAGATGGGTGGGGAAAAATGTGTTTTTATCTATTTTGAATTCAGGCTGTAACACAACAATGTGGATTAAGTCAAGGGCTATGAATACTTTCTGACGGCGCTGTAACTGATGACATTTGCTCCAAATGTTTTCTAGCACCGTAAAGTCAACTGCTATGGACAGTGTAGGTGTGAAATGCTCATGTTAGCAGTGCAATGGCAGATAGTGATTTATCAAATTAATTGATCTCTTGGGTACATGATGCATTAAAGACAGTTTTTCTCCTCTTAGGCCTCTGGGGTGACAGTGACCGATGAAGTTATTATCGTCTTCAACGAGATGAAGGTGCGTAAGGCCCAGGCGAACGAGGATGAGAAGAAGAAGAGGAAGAAGGCGGTGCTGTTCTGCCTGAGCGAGGACAAGAAGCACATCGTCCTTGAAGCAGGTCGGGAGATCCTGACTGGCGACGTGGGTACCACCATCACAGACCCCTACCTGCACTTTGTCAAGATGCTGCCCGCAGACGACTGCCGCTACGCCCTCTATGACGCCACCTATGAGACCAAGGAGACCAAGAAAGAGGACCTTGTCTTCATCTTTTGGTGCGTGTCAACTGTTAAGCACTGGGTTTAAAAGTCAATTTAATTTGATTACAACTAGTCAGCACTGCCAATATAAAGACAGAATGTTGTGGTCATCTCTTTTGTTCTCTGTATCTCAGGGCCCCAGATGGTGCCCCACTAAAGAGCAAAATGATCTACGCCAGCTCAAAGGATGCCATTAAGAAGAAATTCACAGGTGAGCGGAATGTTTTAGGTTGAAAGAATCGTAATACCCGTCCAACCACTGTGAGAAGGTCTAGGGTACTTCATTCATTTGTCATTTTTTCACATTTGACCACTTTGCTCAATTCTAGGTATCAAGCATGAATGGCAAGTTAACGGTTTGGAGGACATCAAAGATCGGCGAACCTTAGCAGAGAAGCTTGGAGGCTCAACAGTGGTCACCCTTGAAGGTGGGCCTGTATAAATCCAGTCTCGGGTATCAACTGAGGCCTACAGGGAAAAATAGAATTTAAAATCCTGTGGGTATGGCTGTTCATTCTAGAATGATAAGGAATTAGGTGAGGGGGTTTAGAGTACTAATAAGAGGATGTTGTTGTGGGGAGAAGAATCAAGCATGCTATTTCATGGTTTAAAATTGTGGTTGTCATTCTACTTGTCACAATGAAGAACACACAGACATGTCTTAAATGGAAATTTGTGATGAAGGATTATGACAAAATAAATGAAGATTTGTCACCATTTCCGAGATTGGCCTTGCAATTTCCAAACTAATGAAGAACAAAATGTGGTTTACAGAGTGACATTTTTTAACAGAGATGCGGACTGGGTATGTCCCTTGTATGATGGAGGGGTGTATGGATCAGGCAGATGAAATAGAAACTAACGAGCAGGGCTATGACCATCCCAGTGGGTAAACATGTCAATTTATGCACTCTGTTCACACTTAATTATCTGATGGTAATTCCTGTATTGCCAAATTAGTTATTCTTTAGCATGTCTAGCTTAAACTAGGTTTATTTTCCAACATGCTTCCAGTAAAATTCAAATTCCAAAACTTGACCTTATTCCAGTAAGTTAATATTTACAAGCGCAAACGGTTAAGAAGCTGTGTACAAAAATGCATTCCTTTTTTCATGATGAAATTTCAGACCAGCTTGAACAGGGATCGATAGATGGTTTAACAATGTGGAGTCAGGGGTATGTAGTAATGTGGGTGGCACCAGTTGGAAGAAGCCTATGAGAGCAAGTAAAGTGTGGATGTATATGTGGGTGTTTTGTTTTTGTCTCCTAATGTCTAAATAAAGAAAATGCACTTACATTTACTAGCTGCTGTCTGTAACATGTTTTCTTTGCCTATGGTTAATTGTCCATTCCTGCATACGTTTTTTACATGTACATTTTTCAACTGATAGTCTATTTGGATGCATCAATATATTAGCAGATTATTAATTAGTGTATTCATGGTGCATATTTTATTAATCTTTTACATTTTATAGTGCACATAAATATAGCCCACACAGCTCAGTGGAGGCAAAGTGTGTGGGGAATGCAATTTTCGGGACGTCTCCAGGCATAAGCAACGTAAGAACTTATCCCAGTTATGTTTGCAACGCCAGGGTTGTGGGTTCGTTTCCCACGGGGGGTATAAAAAAATAATGTATGCACTCACTAACTGTAAGTCGCTCTGGATAAGAGCGTCTGCTAAATGACTAAAATGTAAATGTAATGAAAGCTGCCAGAGAGTGTGGGGACCATTGTCCACCCTCCCTCCCAAAAGCCTGGGAGGACAGAGAGAGCCCTAACTTCCAGGTCAGTAGCTTCAGCCCAACATCACATACACCAATTGACACTCAATTGCCTGATTGACTGGCCGTGTCCGAATACCCATACTAGCGTACTATTTACTTAAACTGCATACTGTTTAGTCATCGCATACTATTTAGCATGTACCGTTTAGTAAAAAGTATGCAGAATGCCAAGGCCGCAACACAGTAGCGGCTCTAAATTGAGTAGGTGGAGCGAGGCAGAGTGCGGGGGTATTTTTCGAACTCAACAGACATGCATCGCATGAACTAGCCTGACAATGGCTCATTTCCAATTTGAATAATTTCTCTAAACTCTGAATAGAATAGGAATAGAGTTATAGGCAGACTTTCACATCCAACCTATACCACAGTAGCCCATCTATCCTATTTGAAAAGGACTGAAGACAGAAACAGATCATTTGGTTCCATTTCAACATATTTATTATTGAAACCATAGTGCTATAACATATACATTAAATCAAATAGCCTAGTACACACATCAACACTTTTCAAATGTTCAAATCAAAAGGCTATTGCACAGAAAAACGTGAACAGTCGGGTGCATTGCAAATTCAGAACCGCTAGACAGCAACATAAACTAAAGCACTGATCATTGGGAACGAGATCAGAATGACTGTTAAGGATTGATCCATCAATGAAGAAATTAAATAGGAAGCCTACAAAACTAAAACAATCCATATGTTCAAATCAAAAGGCCTGATTAACATGACATCAATAACGCAGCCACATCCCGAGTCCCCGGTGCAGACACATTCAGAAATCAGAAGATGCTTTAGTACACTGCTCAAAAAAATTAAGGGAACACTAAAATAACACATCCTAGATCTGAATGAATGAAATAATCTTATTAAATACTTTTTTCTTTACATAGTTGAATGTGCTGACAACAAAATCACACAAAAATGATCAATGGAAATCAAATGTATCAACCCATGGAGGTCTGGATTTGGAGTCACCCTCAAAATTAAAGTGGAAAACCACACTACAGGCTGATCCAACTTTGATGTAATGTACTTAAAACAAGTCAAAATGAGGCTCAGTAGTGTGTGTGGCCTCCACGTGCCTGTATGACCTCCCTACAACGCCTGGGCATGCTCCTGATGAGGTGGCAGATGGTCTCCTGAGGGATCTCCTCCCAGACCTGGACTAAAGCATCCGCCAACTCCTGGACAGTCTGTGGTGCAACGTGGCGTTGGTGGATGGAGCGAGACATGATGTCCCAGATGTGCTCAATTGGATTCAGGTCTGGGGAACGGGCGGGCCAGTCCATAGCATCAATGCCTTCCTCTTGCAGGAACTGCTGACACACTCCAGCCACATGAGGTCTAGCATTGTCTTGCATTAGGAGGAACCCAGGGCCAACCGCACCAGCATATGGTCTCACAAGGGGTCTGAGGATCTCATCTCGGTACCTAATGGCAGTCAGGCAACCTCTGGCGAGCACATGGAGGGCTGTGCGGCCCCCCAAAGAAATGCCACCCCACACCATGACTGACCCACCGCCAAACCGGTCATGCTGGAGGATGTTGCAGGCAGCAGAACGTTCTCCACGGCGTCTCCAGACTCTGTCACGTCTGTCACGTGCTCAGTGTGAACCTGCTTTCATCTGTGAAGAGCACAGGGCGCCAGTGGCGAATTTGCCAATCTTGGTGTTCTCTGGCAAATGCCAAACGTCCTGCACGGTGTTGGGCTGTAAGCGCAACCCCCACCTGTGGACGTCGGGCCCTCATACCACCCTCATGAAGTCTGTTTCTGACCGTTTGAGCAGACACATGCACATTTGTGGCCTGCTGGAGGTCATTTTGCCTCCATGCTCTGGACACTACGCTGACAGACACAGCAAACCTTCTTGCCACAGCTCGCATTGATGTGCCATCCTGGATGAGCTGCACTACCTGAGCCACTTGTGTGGGTTGTAGACTCTGTCTCATGCTACCACTAGAGTGAAAGCACCGCCAGCATTCAAAAGTGACCAAAACATCAGCCAGGAAGCATAGGAACTGAGAAGTGGTCTGTGGTCACCACCTGCAAAACCAGTCCTTTATTGGGGGTGTATTGCTAATTGCCTATAATTTCCACCTGTTGTCTATTCCATTTGCACAACAGCATGTGAAATGTATTATCAATCAGTGTTGCTTCATAAGTGGACAGTTTGATTTCACAGAACTGTGATTGACTTGGAGTTACATTGTGTTGTTTAAGTGTTCTCTTAATTTTTTTGAGCAGTGTATTTAGTTTAAAAGCTCTGACAAAGGCTAAGAAAACAAGAAACACTTTTCAGTGAGAAAACATACTTTTTTTTCAAAGATGTAGCCTGCGATGCAATACTCTTGATCATTTTAAGGAGAACAAAAACGACTTAGCCTACATTTGAGCTTCAGGCATCTTCCCAATTAAGTAGCCTAGTTTTGTTGTTAGGACCTAGTTCTCTTCAAGTAGCCAATCACCCGCAGCCCACCTCTTCCAATAAATTGTGGAAAAGTGTGCATCGAATTCTACTAGATAAAGAGCCGAAATGAGTATAACATCCTGGTATTTAAACCATACCTGGTTTTCGAAGTGTAGCTTACTATTAAACATTATATTTTCGTTTACTGAGTATGCGCCATGCGCAATTACATTGTTTCCCGCTATTCGTTGATTTCGGTAGCGCATACTCATATCTAATTGATCAGCTGTTGTCAAAGCTGAAATGAGTATGACATCTGAGCATTTAAAGTATACTCAATTTTTCAAAATGTAGGACGCAAGTATGGGTATTCGGACATATAGCCCATATTAATATATGTAGTCTTAGAAATAAGGTTAATGAAATCAATAACTTGCTAACATTGGATAACATTCATATACTGGCCATCTCTGAAACTCACTTAGATAATTCCTTTGATGATACAGCAGTAGCAACACAAGGATATAACATCTACAGAAAATACAGGAATGCCTATGGGGGAGGTGTTGCTGTATATGTTCAGAGCCATATTCCTGTGAAGTTTAGGGAGGATCTCCTGTCAAATGTTGAAGTGTTGTGGTTGCAAATTCACCTGCCTCATCTAAAGCCCCTTCTTTTGGGGTGCTGCTATAGGCCACCAAGTGCTAACAGTCAGTATTTGGCTAATACAGTAAGTGTGCAATGCTTGATAATGTGTGTGATAACAGAGCGGTCTATTTTCTGGGTGACCTGAACATTGACTGGTTAGCCACTAGCTGTCCTCTCGAGGAAGCTTCTAACTGTGACTAATGCCTGTAACATCACCCAGGTTATCACTCAAACAACTAGATTGCATACCAATAGTGTTGGATCTGTGACATCCACTTTTATTGATCATATCTTCACTAATGCTGCCGCGCTTTACTACAAAGCAATATCAGTTCCCATTGGCTTTACTAACCATAACAATGTGTCAATAACAAGGAAAGCCGAAGTGCCAAAGGTTGCCCATATGGAAAAGATATAGAAGAATTTAACAAGATTCTTATATGTTCTACCGGGAACTTGTAAGAAATACATATGGCAGCAAATATACTTACAATATTCATAGAAGATTCTTGCATAGAGAATTTGTTTGTTGTTTCCCGCGCTACAGACGGCTATATCGGTCCTCTAATACAGGACTAGTATACTACTATAGTGGGATTTTTTTATCACACTATTTAATATTTTTTATATTAATATTATTTTTTAATTCTGATTTTTCAGAGGCCTCAGTACCCCTCCTTCCCGCAGCTATGGATTCTTGTAATATCTGATTTATATGTGTGGCTAACATTTAGACATAACATAAATGTT